TAGTAAGTGTTATTTCCTAATTTCTTATGCCTCAAAAGTACAGAAAATGGCTATTATTCCCCACAAATATTGCTTTTATGACCAGGACAGTGATATTTTGAAATTTACCTATTTTCCAGAACATTCCAGATAGATTCAGTGCTGAGTAAAATTGGAGTAACTTCCAGAACATTCTAGAACTTTACCGTAATATAAATAGTAGTATAAATACAGGGGCCTTAAGTCCATCAGTTCAGTTTAGTTCCAGCTGCCTAAGTGGATACATATTTGCATTTTTCTGAGATGACATCAAGAGGCTGCAAGCATCCGGCAGAAGCATTTTGCTATGTTTGCAGCCAATTTATGAAGACAAGAGCGAAAAAGTACCCTGTGTAAGCATCTGCTAAGATGTGTGAGGCCTACAAGGCATATTTCAGCATGCCTGTCGGGGATCAAGACAAACCCTGGGCACCTCATTTCACCTGCGAGCAATGCAAAAAAAACTCTGGAAGGTAAGATGGACAATTGTTGCTCGGAATTTTGCGTTATAAAATTTGTTCAATTTTTGTTAAGTTTGTAATTTTAAAATGTTTAAAATTTTCAATATTATTGAAAAAATATATAATATATGAAAAATCTTGCGAGAATCTCTTACACATTCGTCATGGGTGAAATTAATGTATTTTTGGAGGATGGTACAGAGGGGAAAAGAGAGCCATGAAGTTCGCTATCTCAATAAATTGGTGGGAATCCACTGACCACTCAAGCAACTACTACTTCTGCATGGTGGACCCTTCCAAACGTCGGACTGGCAAGAATGCCCCTGCTATCACGTATCCAGACCTACCTTCATCCATCGCCCTGGTGCCACAATGCCGTGAGCTCCCCGTACCCACTCCTCCGGAGAGAGAGCAGCCGTCTTTAGAAGAGAGCAGCAGGTCAGAGAGCGAGGAAGACGTAGACCCAGATGACAATTTCAGAGGTGGAGCTGAGGAGAGAAACCCATACTACCTCAACCAAAAATACCTCAACAACTTGATCAGAGATCTTGGTCTCACCAAGTCCAATGCCGAACTTTTGACGTCATCGGCTCAAGCAGTGGAACTTGTTGGATAAAAGTGTTCAAGTCGCAGATTAGAGGAATCGTCACCAACTGTTTTTCAGCTTCTTCACCTGTCAAGATGGGCTCTGATTCTGCCACAATGTGACCAGTCTGTTCGAGAAAATCTGAATCGCCTATAACCAGAATGAGTGGCGCCTCTTCATTGACAGCTCATCCAGGAGGCCTCAAAGCCGTGCTGCTCCATAATGGTAACAAGTACCCGTCTCTTCCCCTGGCTCACTCGGTGCACCTCAAAGAGGATTACAACAGCATCAAGACCTTACTGGACGCCTTGAAGTATGATGAGTATGGCTGGGAGGTCATCGGATACTTCAAAATGGTGGCATTCCTGATGGGTCTCCAAGGCGGTTTTACTAAGTTTTCCTGCTATCTTTGCCTTTGGGACAGCAGGGACACCAAGGTGCACTACCACAGGCGGGACTGGCCACAACGGACCAAGTTCTCTGTGGGGAGGAACAACGCCAAGTGGGAGCCACTGGTGGACCCCCGGAAGGTGCTGATGCCACCACTGCACATCAAATTGGGCCTTATGAAACAATTTGTCAGAGCTGTAGATAAGGAGTCGGCAGCCTTCCAGTATCTTCAAGACTTCTTCCCTAAGCTGTCTGAGGCAAAGTTCAAGACGGTGTCTTCGTCAGACCACAGATAAAGAAGATCCTGGAGTGCAATGATATCCCCAAGAAGCTCACTCGTGAGGAGAAAGCGGCTTGGAACAGCTTTGTCGCAGTGGTTCGTGGCTTCCTGGGCAATCACAAGGTCGAAAACTACGTGGAGCTGGTTGAGACGGTGAAGAACTACGGCACAATGGGCTGTAGGATGTCCCTCAAAGTCCATATCCTTGATGCTCATCTTGATAAATTCAAGGAGAACATGGGAGTGTACTCGGAGGAGCAAGGCGAGCGCTTCCACCAGGATATACTGAACTTTGAATGCCGCTACCAAGGACAGTATAACGAGAACATGATGGGAGACTACATTTGGGGGCTGATTCGTGAAAGTGACTTACAGTATAATCTTAAATCTCGAAAAATTACTCACTTTGAAATCTTTTGTAGTCAATTTTGTTTTACTTTAGAAAACGAAAAGTCACAAATTCGCCCGTTTTCGCATCGAAAATAGGTCACAAACAAAGTTTGTGGGGAATAATAGCCATTTTCTATACTTTTTAAGCATAAGAAACTACGAAATAACACTTACTACCCAGGAACAAAAATTGTGTTACATAGTGTTATTTTATTACCTCTTTCTGCCGTGCCGGTCATTGGAATTATTTGACCATACTTCACCACGCTGATGTGTGCAGATTGGTAAAAGTCTTTCACCCTTGGAGTGTTGCCTTACCGGCCCCTCATGACCCGTAATATGATCGCATCCCACCATCACATTGAAATCTCAGCTGTGTGCTCGGCTCTCTGGTTCCCTGATTGAGTTGTACAGCTGCAATTACATCAGTCGTAAATATCGCCTGTGAACAGGTGGACAGCGTATCAAATACAGAATGTGGTTTGCAAATGCCTTGGGTTGAATAAGAGCGATTCAAAATGTTTACTCTAAAACAGACCCTAAATGACCTGCAGTGGCGTTACGTGATGTGCTCCACCCAATGAAATATTTGGTCACGTTTCAAAATCACCTTGCCAAACCACTGATGTTTAAGAATGTAACCTTTTCACGTCTTACAAAATATGTATTGTTTTGTTCTCAGAATAAGACTAATGTTCAGATTATTTTCTCTCGATCAGTTGGGGCGATTAGGAATTAAACAAATCTGCAAACGAAGACGACATCAAGAGGGAAAATCCCATTGGTGAAATAATTTGATCGAATATTATATAAAGCACACTGTATTTTTTATTATTGCACTGTAGACGCATATTTAACATACACAGTAGAGTATGAATAACACCATTTATTCAATATCACCAAAATGCATTTTTATAGAGATTCTTGAGTAGGGCAGATATTTTAAGTGGCTTTGTATTATTTGTTTAATTTTAAAAGCTCTGATAAACATACATTAAGCAAAATATCACATTGTTTGGCATTGATAAAACTGGCAATGGCAAATGTAATTGAAACAATCCTTAGGGATATGGATTGCATACCTGTAAACCCATCACAGGTTTACATGTATTCTTGTGAAGGGGAAATTGAGTTTTCAGATCCATACGGCGTATAGCCGTTTCAATATGGGCACAATTATTTTGTATATTTGTGTTTCTCCCTTGTGATGGAACTTTGTAGGATGAACGTTGAGATGTATAAGGGCACGGGGTGACCAATAAGATCTGAATTGGCCTGTAATAAAGTAGGCACTGATAAGGGGTTGACAGGTATTGGATTGGAATGTGAATTAGCGAATTACAGCCAGAGAAAGATGTAATGTTGCATACTATAACACAAAAACATTCAACAAAAAAATCAAAGGACAAATATGCGGCAACGTTTCAGGCAATTACCCATCTAAAGTCACGTATGTAAAAAAGAAAAATAGAAATTTATTATTTATTTGTTACCTACGTGACTTTACCGAAAAAACCTAAGAGTATGAATCCTTGCAGGTTTGAAGCACGAAAGCTTCAAATCTAGAAAAAATTACCCATCTCCATAGAAAACACCGACGATGCAATACAAAAAAGTGGAAGGGCTAAGAAAAAGGGCCATTGTCCTGAAACGTCGCATGCCACGTTATTTTCCTTCGTTTTTGTTAGACTACCGTATTCATGACACTAAACGTGCGGAGTTGTTGCTGTTGTTCGTTATTTATTGCGGCGCCACGTGGCCAACGCAGCAGCAGTAGCAGCTGCAACATTGAGCACTTGCCACCAAAGCACGGCCACCAAACTCACTGCGGAGTGGACCCCCCCCCGCCCCCCCCCCCCCCCGCCCCCCCCCCCGCCCCCCCCCCCCTCGCCCCCCCCCCTCGCCACCCCCCCCCCTCGCCACCCCCCCCCTCGCCCCCCTCGCCCCCCCCCCCTCGCCCCCCTCGCCCCCCCAGGCGCGAGGCACAAAAACCTCGGGCTGCGATTGGACAAGCGGCCCACTTTGTCTCCGCGTAATCACGTGGTGTAACCACGTGCGCCCCGCAACAGCCAATCGCCCTTTAGGGGGATTTTTACAAAAGATTATCGCTGGGCCCCACCCCCCCCTGCCGCCGCCGCCGTCGTCGTTTCATTGCCACCCCAACGGGCACGCGACGATGGCGGGGTGGTGTGGGGGTAGGGGCGGGGCAACATCGGCCATATTGCGTAGGGAGGGTGGATTCATTCTAAATTTGATATTTTCGTGACTGCAAGGATTCATAGTCTTTGGCTCTTTCGGTAAAGTCACGTAGGTGAAAATAAAAATAATAATAAGAAACATAATAAAATAAATTGAAAATCACTAAATTAAATCACGACTTTTCGGAAGCAACACAAGCCTCCGTCATCAGGTTAGGACAGCCACAGCAAGAAATATAAGGCCATATATAATATCTTGTTACGAGCAGCTCTTGTCCACTCCAGCAAATTGTTTCTTGCTGTGGCTGTCCCACCTGATGACGGAGGCTTGTTTCTTCCGAAAAGTCGTGATTTAAATCAGTTATTTTCAATAGATTTTATTTTTAATATTGTATTATTATTATTTTATTATTTTCACCTACGTGACTTTAACAAAAGAACCACAGAGTTGGGAGGGTGGGTTGAACTCAACATAAAGCACGTTGAGGAAGGTAACGTCATCAAAGGTTGACACGTGACACCCCCCCCTTGCTGAAAAAGGTTGTAATTCCCTTAGAAAGATGGCGGCTGCAGCGACCGTCATCGCGCAGTGACGAACGTCACCTCGCACCGGGGGGGGGGGGGGGGCGTCTGAGGCACCTGCGCGAGTGCCCGGATGTTCCCCGCCCCGCTCCGCCCCTCCCCCTTTCTCGCCCTCGCCCCGCCCCCTCCGCCCGCGAACATGGCGACCCCACCTCCCGCCTAGGCTGACTGGGCTCTCGGTGGGCGAGTGGCGTCGAACGAACGACGGCTGAAAGAACGACGACAAAGACGTCCACCCGACGATGAGCTAAAGGGAGAAGGAAGGTGGGTGGGTGGTGGGAGATTTCAGGGAGGCTCGAGGAACGAACGCAAGGCGACGTTTGGCTCGAGGAGAGGCCGCCAGACCCCCAGAGTTTGTCGTCGTCTGCAGGTGCGGTGGTGGCGCAGCGTCGTGCCTGTTCGGTGGGGAGGGAAACAACTAAAAGTTTGATCCGCTCCTCGTTTCGACGTCTACAGGGCCTGGTTGTTTTTTTAATCGATCGAACGCCGAACGCGTGGCCCTTAACGGTGGTAGATTGTGTCGAGAAGTTGCGTGGATGTGAGAGACACGGTGGCTTGTGTAGAGGCGGCATCGCCTCCCTCCCCCTCACTCACTACAACTTGGCTGCCATAGGTTAAGTTGCTTTGAACCCCCATCGGATATTGTAATTGTTTCCGACTACTTGTTCGTGGGATGGCTTGTGTAGTTATATTTGTTGTATGAGCTCCGTGTGTTTTATTTGATGGCGTTCAGTGAGGAGTCCTGGTACGGATGAGATTGGTCGCGGTGTTTTAAAGTGGCCCAATTAAAAGTGTCTTATTGTTTGTGAACAACGATTATTGTTGAACGTGTTACATGTTCGACCGTAACATGTATAAAGCCTGTGCAGTGTTTAGTTTTGTGTCTCTCTTAAAGCGGTGCGCATTCCTGAAATTGCACTTGCGAACCAGGAAGACAAAGTACAAACATGGCTCAGGTCATATCCACATTAGTTTAATCTTTGACTCGCGAGTTTGTACAGAGGAAGAGTAAATTGGGCTTGGTCCGGACACGTCGTGGCGAGGGGTGATGATGATGATGATGGCCTCTGTGGTCGAGGACTTCGCAACGGGTTTGGCAGCCGTAACAAGAAGAGGGAACTACGACCACCGTGGAGACGGAGCGATGGAAGCAGCTCTTGAGCCGGAGCGAGATGGATTCTCACAACCTGAGGCTATGAGAAGTGGAATTGGAACGTCTTAGAGATGCCTTTATCCAGCAATGATGAGGTCATGGCAGGTGATGATCATCACGAATATTATTAAGGTTGGGCTCTTGTTTGGACTTTCGTTGTGGCTCGCTTTAGTGGCCTATAAATGCCATCTACTTTTATTTTTGAGGCTATGAGAAGTGGAATTGAAACGGCTTAGAGAGATGCCTTTATCCAGCAGTGATGATCATCACGAATATTATTAAGGTGTTGGTTGGGCTCTTTGGACTTTCGTGTGTCTCGCCTTAGTGGCCCATAAACCCATCTACTTTTAATTAATGTACTTCACTTATTTATCCGCGAATGTGTATCCTGAGCAATAATATATTCCCATGTACAGGACTGTATTTTAGTTCAGGTTTCTTTAATTATCGGTACTGGTTGTGTAGTGCTTCGTGCCCCGCGCTAAGAACCCGAGTTCGATTTCTGGCCACGGATAACAAGTGGCAAGTGATGGTCCTCGGACCACATTTCTAAAAACTTGCACTTCCCAGTATGGTCAAACAATCCCCAACAGATTGCCAGAGGCAGGCTCTTCTATATAAACATTGTCCTATTTATCTCAAGCATGTTGTTAATCGTGGTCATATATATTTGTAAGCAGATGATAGTTAATTTAAATTGTATTTTTTTAACAATTGTTTTGTAGCTAGCCATAGTTAAGCATTGACAGTAACTTTAACACGTGAATTTTGACATTGACACACAATGGCAAACGTGTCACCTATTCTGTAATTACATCGTACAAATTTGGTAACTCCCGCGGAAATTACTTGGACTGCAAACGAACCCTGTGGCGTGTGCGTGCAAATGTTATGCCATCTCCAGCTGTTAAACATATTGCAACGCACATTGTATTTATACCTCTTTAAGGATAAAAGTGACTCGGAAACACGAAATAATGTGGTGCATTGCCATGACACATTTTGTTGGTATGTGAACGCTTTTCTTAGTAGCACTATATTTTTTGTACTTTAAATGCTTTGTGGCTATTTGAAATCATTGGGTGGGGGGAAAAACGAATAGCCCCTTAAAGCCCGCTTATGAAACCAAACATCAGGCACACCCTCTTTCAGGGTTTTCAATAAATTCTCATAACGGTGTGTGTGGTGGGTGCTTGTGAAAATATCACACGACGGTGGCAAATAGCATTGCAGTTATGTACTGAGAGTGCGAATTGCAGTGCAAGAGAGCATTTTTATAAGCCTCGTTTACCCACAAACCAAAGGCTTAAATCATTTTCTCGGTGGGTGGCTAGCTGGATGCAGCAAGGTTCGTGCACAGCTTATGCACTTTCAATTTCACTGCTGATATTGGTTATCTTGACAGTATTTTCATACAGAGTAAAGTGACGTTACCCTCATACGTTTTTGGGTGTTATGTACTGTACCTATAGGACAATTGCATTTGCAAAGTTTGGGTGTATGTAACAAGAAATGCTTACTTTACCGAAATAACCAAGAAGAAGAAATGCTTATATCGTTATATTTGGTTATAATTGTGTCGAAACAAAATAGATGAAACTATTATATTATCAACAAAAAACAACCCTCATTTGTGAAATGTATACTGTATTCCTTCATTTTATATTTTCTTTTTGGCACAAAGCAATATTCAGTTAACAAGTAGAAGTGCCTTGCTGCAGCCTGAGCTTCATCAAACTGTTCTAAGCCTCAGCTTTAATTCACGTGGTGCTGAATTTGAATTTCCGTCTCTTTATTTAAATTAAGATAATTGAGCATGCAACTCTGTATGTACATATTTTGTTGTGTTAATGATAATGACCGATGTCCTAACTAATGGTAATGATGTAATGTTTCATCATCTTAATTGTATCTTGTACAGATTTATGATGACGTAAATTTTATATGTAATGATCCTTTCGTCCGGGAATTAATATTACAAAATGTTTATCCCAGCTTGCCGCTGCCTGCCACCTTATATTTCCATGCACATGGTGTCATACTCAAAGATTGCTCTCGATCTGATGTGTTAACAGGTCATCACTAACGAGTCTTGAGAAGCCACAAGAAAATAACAGGAAAAGCAATCCCTGGTGACTAAGCTGTGGGAAACTACTGTTCAACATGTTCACCAAGAAGAAAAAGCAGCGGCCTCAAATCTCCGCGCCATGCAACTTCGAGCACCGCGTGCACACCGGCTTCGACCTAGCGGAGGGCCGCTTCACTGGCCTGCCTCCGCAATGGCAGAGCCTCTTGGCCGACACGGCAAACCGGCCCAAACCAGTGGTGGACGCCTCTTACATCACGCCGGTGGACCTGGCTCCCATGAAGGTGATTGCACGGTCATTTAATCCTGACCCACATAGACTTTTATGTATGTAATTATATGCCACAGCACCAAAGGTTGGTATGTACTGTGTATCATTGTGACAAAATATAATTTGTACAGATGTGTGAACTTGTTAGAAAGTTTAGATTCCCCGAGCTTTCATCTAAATTATAAAAGGGTTGTGTTTCCGTGTTAAATTACTTTTAATTAAAGGGAGCCAATAACTATGCAACAGGGCTGCAAACAACTGTTGAAATCTTTTATGTAAACAACCATTACATTTTGGTCCACCCACTCGGACCTTTGAACCCCATTTATTCCCTCACTTTGCCTTTGGCTGCTACTTGTAAAAACCTGCTGTGCCTGCACACACGTGTGATCAAGAGATTATCAGAAAAGCTAATGCCTCTGCTGCGATTTAGTTATTCTAATTCCTTGGCTGATTGATGCATTTTACCAGGGTCTTATGTGTTTTGTCTTTCAAAGAGTATTGCGACTGTGGTGCAAAGTTGCAGTCGGATGGCTTTTGTTTTCAAGCTTTGTTTACAATGACACTGGACTGAAGTTTCAAACAACACACAAAAAACGGAAACAACATTCACTGAATCTGTGCATAATGCAAAAACCTTAATTTTCCGGCCTGCACTGATTTTTCTGTTTTCATGGGGTTTCTCATCATTTACAGATTTTATTACTGGACTGAACACCTTATTTTGAATGAAATCATAGTTTAGGGCTGTCTAAAAAAACAGCTGAGTTTAGTGAGCTGATTTTGTTGCTGTGACTCACAGCGGGTGTTGCTTCCTTTTATGAGTAATTCGTGCCCAAGGCTCGCCTTAATATTCGCACTCTCCAAAGCATCTGCCTTCACACAATTTAGTTTGTGGCTGAATGTAAGACATGCAAGGTACCCCTTTTCCCTTCTGGCAACGTCAAGTTGAAACTTGTCACAGATGGCGAAGAGTACTGTAGTTGCATAATGCAAGGTCTCTTCTTGACCTGTATGTGTGTGTGTTTATGCGTATCATCAACATATAAAGCAGGGCATTGGCATGGTTTATTGCCAGTATTTGTGCAGGAGTTTCCCTTTGTGTATTGCATAGTTATATGGACCATGCATTTTATCATTTAATTCTGAGTCTTATTGATGTACTTTTATTTTTAGTCATCACGTACCAGTAGTAGTTTTTCTACATTTATTGTTTCATGTAGGAATTACTACTATTATGTAGAGGTTTATAATTTAGATATATGGCTTCCAAACAGTTGTATATGATATGCGTTTTAAATGTTAAGAAAGAAAAGAAAATTACAAGTGTTTTACAACAAAGTACTCTATGATGGCATCCAAATGCACTTGAGGTCCTTTGTAGGCCAAGTGTGGAAAATAATATTAAAACATGATGCGTTGTGCCAAAATACCTATTTTACAATAGGGCCTACTGGCAAATGCTTGTGACCATTGGCTTTCAACGTTGAACCACACATTACAGGCAATGAACCATCATTACCATTGCAAGGATATATGGATTCTGTCTGCAGAAAAGAATATTAAAATATTACCATTTGATTCCTGTAGCAATCATCTACGGTGTTCATTCTGTGGGGATTATTAATATATACATTAATTTTAATGGGTTTCCAACAGATTGGGTGATGGTAGGTCAGGTTAATAGAAATACTTTACTGGAATTTTTTAGCAAATGTAAAAATTTGAGTATCCAAGGCTTTATATATTTGATATTCATTTAATCAGAGAATTCGATGTACACAATACTGCCCTGTGTATATGTTCGGCTATACACTTGTCTGTATACGTGACTCTTAGCTGCTGATCAGTACTGAGGGCAATTCCAGCCATACTTTATTAACTAGAATCGCAATTGAAATGTATTTCATCGATAGGCATCAGCCATAGGTTTCAATAGCAATTCCACTCGGCCTGCCCAGGTCTTCATGGACCTTTTTTGCCTGAATGCCATAACAGGCTTTGCTTAGCCCAAACTCTAAATAATTGAATCTTAATTCCAGCCAAGGGTTCACGAGATTCTTCCAACTTTAATGGCAGTTGTTAATCAACATGTAACATAAGTGTCTCGTTAAATCTTAGAAGGTTTTCCTAACCAGCATGCACTTTCCCGAGGTCACTACCTGTTAAGGCTCAACGCGCTTTTAGTGAAACATATGTTGTGTCGATGTATGTTGAACTTCTTTTGCACTGTACATAGCCAACCGTAATAATCCGAGATGTGGAATTTAGGAATAAAAAGCCTTAAGTCAATGGTGAGCTTAATTGGTTAGAATTTGAGAAATACATTGGCACGTATAAATAATATCTTTGTAAATGTGACTCTTGTCAGGTGGCGGAGGGATAATGACAGGAATATTGGCATAAAACTAAGTGGCCTATCCTATAAATAAATTACGGATCATAAATTGTACCCTTTTATAAAGTGCTGGCACAATAAAAAACACAATTTGCTCAAACAATGCCTTGCCAAATTGCGATTTAAAGCTTTCGTGAGTGCAGGGATTCATCTTCTTGGTTCTTTCCTTCTACGTGACTTTACCGAAAGAACCAAGAAAATGCCTTGCCAATTAATGAATGTGTGAATAATACACCACATTCGGAGTTCATGTCAAGCAAGCAAAGAACAGACCTCTTTGAATAAGCTACACTTGCTTGCCTTACATGCGATTTTGAAAACCACTTTAGAGGGTATTGTGTATACCTGCATAGCGTAGTGGTTATTCTGGTTCAGCTGCTGAAAAAGAGCAATGACACAGACAGGATGTGCAAAACCAGCTCAACTGCTTAACCAGCCACATTATCCAAACTTTGTTCGTGGCAGCAGTATAATGCTGCATTCATCATTGAGAGTGAAGCACTTAACAAGTTTTCATTGTACAGGGTGGTCCAGATGTCTTGTGACACCCCCCCCCCCTCCCCAATCAATTGATCCAAAAAGAATGTCACTTTGCATTTTAAGTTTTGTTTTAAATTAACCTTAAACAATATTAAGTTTTAGGGAATAAAATGGGGGTCACAAGCAATGGCGGAGCCAGGATTTTCAGGTGGGGGTGCAACTTCTCCAGCAATGAAAAATGATAGAGGAGTTGTTAGTAAGTAAGGACTTGTCCCTTGCTTTTTACTCGACGTGTGCACGGCAATGGTGCAGCCTTTGATCGAGGGTCGAATTCGAACCGTGTTGTGTGATCGGCATCGCACTCGCTGGAGGTGTGTGATGCCTTCAGGGAAGTCGTGTACTGTATACGCAACTGCGCACAATTCTGTGAGTCACTTATTACCGCTTTGCCGTTACTTATTGCCAATTATGGACTCAGACTATTGTCCTATCATCTCAGAGTCCCTGGCACGTAATAATATGTTACACTGGCAGTGGGGGTAGCAAAATACCTATTTATTCCGAATTAACCCCAATGATCCCATCGAAATTAGGGATTTCGATCGGATCATTGGGGGGGCATGTGCCACCCCACCCCCACTGGCCCCGCCAGTGGTCACAAGACATCTAGACCACCCTTTAGATTAATTACAACACCATGCAGTTACAAATCGCTATGCATGAAAACGAAACAATATACATTCCAAGTGCCTGTGAACCACTGATGTCATCCATTACAAAAGCATTATTTCGCAAAATTTTGTGAAAAGGTCAAGAGATCACAATGTAGTATACCCCTCGAGGGTACGTGTGACAATTGATGTAATGCAGTGGTCACCTACATGAGGTGAGGTTACAGGAGTCGTGCTGCTGCTTCATTATAGACTATCAATTCTAAAGCTATTAACTTAATAATTGTATTAAATTAATGGAAGCTGTATGCTTGGACGTCTAAGTTTTAGTACATTGCAATTCGATTCCCAGCCACTGCTAACAAGTGACATCTGAATCAGTCCTCGGACCTCCACTGGCTAGTGTGATAAAGTTACATGCAAACCTTAACCTTCATCCAGAAATGGATTGGCAAAGGAATATATTTAAAATTAATTTATTTAATCTAGACTTACATGAGGACCCATAGGCTTACATAGTTCCCATGATCTAGCAATGGATCCTTAGGGAAAAATTGGGCCTGTAGTCTTGGTAATTTGAACACGGGCCTACAAATAACCCATATATGTACATAGAGCATATAGACACACAATTGGCAGAAACTTAAAAATGCTGAATACAATGAAAATCTGCATAAAGTAATAATGCTAAAAGAGGTTGAAATCACAATAAAGGAGGTAAATAAAAAACTAATTGGCAGCTTATTTTCTTTCAGTTATATATACAGATAAAATAGGTTCTCAAGTAAACTAAGATATCATTGCAAAAAAAAATCTCCATTAAACTAAAAACTATTTTAATGATAACGCTGTTCTTCCCTGGCCATAAGAAATTTTTTTTCCTTAAGGAATATTTCGTTAGTTATAAGGACAATCCTTGGCTTTATGGTGACAGGTCTGATGTTTTTTTCTACATTTTGCTGCAGATAATTGTGCGTGGCAGCAAAAAGTTACCTATCAACGACAGCATCATAGCTGAGATGAGCAGCCTATCCGTGTCGCGCTCCAACTCTCTGCGCGTTCGCGAAGACCGGCAAGATGTCCCATACCGAGGCTCGGAGAGGATACGTCCTGGACCCAGGCCTATCACCACCATCATGCAAGATGAGGAATATCGCGAACAGAGACGTGACAGGGATTGTGAACGGGAGACCGGCGGAACTCGCACTGATGGCCCGTTTGGTCGAAATGAGAGGTATTTTTGACGCTCTATAAATCCAAACTTCTTTAAAAATCAAAAATTCACTGTAACCCTGCATAGTAAAAATATATATTTGTAAGTTTATATTTTACACATGGATTCCTATACATATTAAATTGAACTGAGTGGCTCAACTTTGCCAACTTTTTAAATGTTGCCTTTAGGATTTCCCAGCCGAAGGTGGTTAATGGACGGCAAGGATCGCTGGAACAGGGATACAACCGCAAAGGACATGGCAGACCACCGCCTGGCTACCCAGTAGCCATCACAAAAGAGAGGCCCCCACAGATACCAGGTGAGCCAAAACCGAGCAGGTGACTCTTATTTATAATAATGATAGTTATAAATGCAAGTGTCCTTGACAACCATATATTTGAGCTGTAACATTTGTGAATTAAGTGTATTTTAAGTGCAGCATTTTATTGAGCAGATAATGTTAATTGGGCTGTCCTGATGTCATTTAAATTATATTTTATTTCTGTTGTGCGGGTCACAACACGTGTTGACGTGTATCAATGATTAATTACAAAATAACCAAAACTAGCATAACAAGGAGTCTACCAGATTACTTGTATGTTTGGCAAATGCTATGTTGGCCAGACAGGACGAAAGATTAGCACGAGTAAAATAACCCCACATGAACATCAAATACTCACAAACACAAATAGTAGCAGTTGCCGAACATGCCTGCCACCAAGGATATTCTATTGATTTTGATAACATTGGCAGTCTTTGTAGAACTATTTGTTATTGGCAAATAATGATTGTGGAGTCAGTAGACATTTAGAGAAATTAAATTGAATTTAAAACTAGCTGACAGCGACAGGCCAAGTTCGGCTTGGAAATGCATGAAGCAAACACAGCTCAACCTCTATCGAATGTTACAAATGATAAATAATACAGTATTACTCCAGTGTCACTGTTTAGTATAATAAAGTTAATTATCATCAACCTTAATCACCGTGCAAGTATATGTAGATTCATATTCACATCTATTATTATTTATTTATGTTAAAACGTTAACCTTTAGGTATCATCACAGCACCAATTCAAGCCCCATGATCGGAGGAGATATTCACAATTATGGCAATCGCCTGATGATGCTGACTGAAACTACCAGCGGAACTTCTTACCTAATTGTTAAATATTGTGGATACCGGTGTGCTGAAGCAATGAAAATGGTGCATTGGTTCATGTGACAATCTTATTTATTTGGCTGTGTAAGCTGGAGGATCTAACTAAAGAATAAACTATAATCATATTGGTCATGAAAGCCGATGTGTTTAAATTGTATTTCTGTGCCGAATAGATATGGTGCTGAAAGTTTTTCTCATCTTGAATACATATTTAGAAAATTATATTATGTATTTTCCAAGAGAGCTGAATGCAGCACAATCAGATGTTACAAATACCCAAAGAATATATACAGATCAGTTTCTTTACAACTTATTAGTGATTGATATATTACATCAAATGTTGTTCCCTTTTAGAATCACAATTGTGGCACATGGCTGAGCCTTCTGACGGAGACACGGACCGAGCGGTGGTTAGCATTAGGGATGATTCTGGTCGACCCAAATCGTCGTACGAGGCCCACCTGGTGGCGACCGGGCCTAAGGAGCGACCTAGGTCGGCGCTGGATACTGCGGAGCGGCCGAGTCGCACCTCAACCCGGTCAGCAGGGCTTCCCCGGCCACCTCTCCCTACAGGCCGACAGCTTCAGTCAGGCTCTCTTCACTCACAGCATCCAGCAATGAAGGTAAGTCTTTGTCTTTGTTTCTGTTTGTCTTCAACATTATTGTTTAAGAATAATAGTGGGGAGCGGTAGTTGCAGCGGTTAACACCGAGCTACAAACCCGGCGACACGGGTTTGATTCCTGCTCACGGTCAACATCAGTGACGGTTATTTGAACCGGTCTTGGGCCTCCCCTAGGTCGACGCAGCCTCAAATTAGTACCTGGAGTGGTGTGTAAACACCAGCACTTGAGACGAAGGTGGGCAAGCATGGTGCATGCCATCCACCCCCTCGTGTGCCGTGCCGGCCTTCATAGGTGCTCGCTAACAGCATTTGTCCCTGCAGTCTGTTAAGGCTATATGGGGGTTCTTTGTATATTTAATAATGCTGTCATCATCATGATTTTTTTTGTCATTCTCCTAAATGCTATAGAAGCATTTTTATCTTACAAGTGTAGGTGTAATGATGCGCCATTGATGAATATCATCAACTCTTAAGGCTCACAATTCATGCAATGTATCGTGTGTGTAAAAGTATTTTTTTCTATACGCGATTGTTACATTTAGGCAAAGGGAGTGAACAAGATAATATAAACACCACAAAAACAATGGAAACGGTATAAATGAGATATATAATCGAGGAAAAAGTGTTATTCTTGAATTGCATTGCAACCTCTATCGTGACAATTTTTCAATTGCCAAGTCTAGTAAGTTGTTAAACCACTTTCTCATCACATAATAAGTGACACTTAACTTCAAATGTTAAGTTCCTTATTTCTGTGTTAAATTGCAAGCATACAGCAATGATCCTAGTCTAATATTTAAATAATGAGGCCCAGTAATAGTCATGGGTCACTATTCAATAAGATTCCACATGACGACATTGTTACCCAAGGGTGCAATATGCCAGTAACCTTTGATACATTTTTCTTTTTGAATACCAACGAGTTAATACTGTACATTTTGAAGGGTTTGTCTGTTCATCAATATCTGGTAATGGGTAACTTCATAAACTAATTTGGAAACCTTTTATTTTTAATCCGGGCCTCCTGTGGTGTATAGTGCAGTCTGAAAATATTATTCTCTCAATCTATGGCCATTGCCCCAAATGTCATCTATTAAATATTTGTTTCCTTTTAAGGCAGGATTATTGATGAATGTGAGCTTTTGTTATTTATGCATGTGCACCACTGCAAAAGCAGTATTGCAAAATAATGTATCTCATAACTCAATTGTGTTTTTCAGTATGAGCAAAGTGATGCTCAACATTCTGAAGGCAGAGAAGTGGAAAATGTGGATGCATACAACCGGGTTCCAACACCTCCCACAGTTGGGGAAAAATCTGCTCCAGTAAAAAGTGGCCCGCCTGCCACTTTTCCAAAGCCAAAAAAGCAATTTCCAGCAAAGCCACCATCACCACCACCACTACCACCCACCTCTTATGTGTCTACATCCCTTCCTCGACCTCCAGCGCATCATCAAATGGAGGGAGCGTCTCAGAGAAAAGACCGACAATCTCAGAGTGCATCAGACTCGAGTGGAAGCGGGCCTCCCCGTGCTCACTCACAGCAGTCCATCACGGAAAGCCAAAGTCAGCGAATGTTTGATTCATCAGCAAAGCGGGGGTCTGCGAATAATGAGCAACATCCAGCAGCTGTGGACCATTCTGAGCCGTCATTGGATACGGGGGACATCGGATCCAGCAATTCTGCTCAGCAGCAGTCTCGGCACCATCCAGATGACAATCATAATCATCAACCGTCATCCATGAATCACTCGCACGTAATCCAGAGTAATGGGCCAAGTGCCCCAACAAAAAAAATGGGTGCTCCTTTATCAAAGCCTGGAGGAGGTGGTCCAAACAACCACAGCACACATTCAGGGCCACAGTAAGTTTATATTGACGAGAACCTTTTTTTCCTTCAAGTTTATTTACTGTCGTGTTATTATTTTCAAAAAATGTAAGGTGTTCTCAGTTAATATATTTTGGTCCACCAGGTCTCAGCAGCACCAGCCTCCTCGAATCTCCCACGAGCAGTTTCGAGCAGCGCTACAGCAGGTGGTCGACCCAGGAGACCCCTCGCAGTTCCTGGGAAGTTTCATCAAGATTGGGGAGGGCTCAACGGGAGTTGTTTGTCTGGCTGAGGACAAACGCACTGGCAAGCAAGTCGCTGTCAAGCGCATGCATCTTCGCAAGCAGCAGCGGCGTGAGCTACTCTTCAATGAGGTACGTCGTCTAAACCGTATATGCGTTCACTATTCATCTGTCTTCATGCTTCAGCCATTGTACTTGTTATAATGTCTAAGGATCCACTGTCTTCATAAATGCATCGCATTTACCTCGACGGCTTCTCAGTATAGTGTCTTTGTAAGGGCATTTCTGCATACAACATCTGCTATATTTTTCAGTTGCCGACGTTTTATCTGCCTGTTGAAAGTGTTTATACAACACAATTGTTTAACAGAATAAAACATAATTAGCATTAATTGAAGCGTATTAGTTTGCTCTTACGAGGCTCTGTGCATTGATTCCAACACGGCTGTCGATGTTTGCCAAACATTGGGCTCAGCTGGGAACATGCCAGCCCTGGTGGCTGTACTTTGTTTACTGATGAACTCGATTGATGTTTTTTCATCTCTGATGGTTTGTTGGCTAGGTGGTGATCATGCGGGAGTATCACCATGAGAATGTGGTGAACATGTACAACAGCTATCTGGTGGACGATGAGCTGTGGGTCGTCATGGAGTTTTTAGAAGGAGGAGCTCTGACTGACATCGTTACCCACACCAGGTGGGCATCAGAGCAGAGCATGCCAGCATAATTCTCATAGACACTCCTCTTCACACAGTAAAACCTTGGATTGCGACTAACTTGGTCTGCGAGTGTTTTGCAAGACGAGCAATTTTTTAAAAATACATTTTAATTTGATAAACGAGCGAGGTCTTGCAATACGATTACTGTAGTACATACAGTATACGCTTTGTCTGCCGAGCGTCACGTGATCACAACTTATATATGAGTGCTTTGATATACGAGTGCTGTGGATTACAAACACGTTTCCAGAACGAATTATGCTCGCAATCTAAGGTTTTACTGTATCTGTTTGCATTGAAAGTGGTGCACTGTCCAGAAATTAAACTTAACCAGTTGTAACGTTGCCTTTTGTTCATCTTTACATTTGAATAAACTTCATTATCTTACCTCTTTGAATTCACAACTGCCCATGCCTAATATTTTGAATTGAGGCCAAAAAATATTGAATGTGTCTTATGGCTGCTGGGGATCTGGGGATATTTGATAGTGTGTAAACCTTTGATCTAGTGCTTTGTAGTCAGGGGTTGCAAAAATCGACGTGATCTGCCAACTTACAAAACTGCTGGTCGTATAGTTTATTTGGAGATGGCAGTACAGCAAATGAGTCTCTGAATCTATACAGGACCTATATGTTATCCCTTCACATGCGTAGGTTCCTATCAAATGCAAAAAGTTCCTGAAATTAATTGGCAAAACATTTTCTCTCCAGGACCCTCTTGAAAAAGTGTCTTGAGACTGTAAAGCATTTATGGATAAATAAATACAAATTCTGTCTGCTCGGACTGAGCAATATTATTTTTGCCTTTATTACTAGCTTGGTGTTCATACCTTGAATTGTCAATGTTGCAGAGCTTGGCCAAGAATATGCAGTTTTTTGTTTCATTCACATTTAACTTTGCTGTCTGCTTGTTGTGTGCAGGATGAACGAGGAGCAGATCTCAGCAGTGTGTGTATCGGTGCTGAGGGCACTGGCCTACCTGCACGGGCAGGGTGTTATCCACCGAGACATCAAAAGTGACTCCATCCTGCTCACGGCTGACGGCAGGGTGAGGGAGCCAGGGTGTGGATGTTGGGATAATGTCTAGAGATGGATATTAAGGCTTCCCCATGGCTTTAAAGTTGAACCTGAAACATATATCAATAAAGCTATTCTGTCAATCTGGCTGAATACTATTAACCAAACATGATACCGTTGTGGATTTAACCAAATCGCCCGAAATTGTTCCGATTGTATAGAATTCTATTTTGGATTTATAAAGAGCCTTTCACCAAGACGCTTGACAATGCTTACCGACTACGGTACAAAATGGCAAGATAAGGGATGGGGATCGGGTAGTGAATAGGGTGGAGGGAATGAGGTGGATGCTGCGCCGTTGGAGGCACTAGGGGCGTTAGGTAGATCTGGTAGGGGTGGCGGAAGAGGAAGGGAAGAGACAAGAGAAAAGAGAGAGGACTTGGGGGCAGTGCGAAAAGAGGAAAGCGAGGGGGGGGGAGTGATGTGGAGAGGGAGTTTGTTCCAGTGTAAGGGGGCAAGCAGAGAGGAGATTGGGTGGAGGGACCGCAAGAAGATAGACGGCTTGTGACTGGAGCGGGCGTGATGGCACATGTAAGGAATTGAGAGAAGACAGGTAAGGGGAGGCCAGTCCATGCAAAGCTTTGAAAACTAAGATGAGCAATTTAAAGAGGCAGTGGTGATAGATAGGAACCCAGTGAAGTTGTTGAAGGGGGGGGGGAGCAATGAGATGGAAGGGGAGGTTAAAGACGGTGCTTGCAGCCAAGTTTTTAATTTGTTGCAGAGGGGCAAGGGTGTAGGCAGGGACACTGACCAGGAGCGAGTTGTAATAATCCAGATGAGTGAAGATGACAAAGTGCACAGGAAGTTTGTCAGCGGTGATGGTGATGAGGGGGCGAATTTTCCTGACATTGAAAAGATGGAAGCAGCATGTGCGAGTGGTGTTGGCGATGTGGGACGTGAAAGAAAATGAGGAATCAAAGGCGATGCCAAGAATTTGTATGGAAGCGATCGGAGTTAGACTGAGCGGAGGGAGAAAGATATGCAGGGGGGAGGAGGAGAGTGGAAGGCGGGAAAGTAGAGCACGGTGGTTTTCTAAGAGTTAAGGGAAAGGACATTTTCTGTCATCCATGCTTGGATAGCCATTAGGCCGGATGAGATGTGGTCGGAAAGGTCAGGGGTAAGAGCCTTAAAGGAAAAGAAGATTTGAGTGTCGTCGGCAAATAGATTATACGAGAGATTGAAAGAAGAAAGGGATGGGCTCACGGGGGGATGTGTAGAGGGAGAAGAGGAGAGGGCAATATACAGAACTCTGGGGGATGCCAACCGTGACCGGGGAGGATGAACCATGGTTAAAAGAGACAGTGGATGAACGAGACGTGAGGTAAGAGCAGAGCCAATGAAGTGGGGTGCCAGAGATACCGGGGTTAGACAGAGTGGATAAGAAGGTGGAGTGATCAAGGGTGTCGAAAGCCGCAGACAGGTCGAGTGAAATTAGGACCGATGGAAGGGCCCGAGTGACACGAGTTAGCCAAGTGGTTGTGCACGTGGAGGGAGAGCGGTTTCGGTGGAATGGAGCGGATGGAAACCAGACTGGTGGAGGGGGTCGAGAGAGTGAGAAGATATGTAGGAAGTGAGTCGAGTGTGAACTAGTCATTCGAGGAGTTTGGAGAAGTAGGAAAGCAAGGAAGTAGGGCAATTAGTGTGCAGGGATGGAAGGATCTAGTGAAGGTTTTTTGAGAATGGGTAGAATGATGGCTGTTTTGAAGGAGTTATGGAAGATGCCAGATGGGAAGGAAGAGATGGAGAGAGCTAGGAGGAACCGGAGGATCGTAGGGATGACAGATGGAAGCAAGGAAGGCGGTAGGGGAGCAAGGGAGGAAAAGGGTCGGGTGAGTTTTGTAGATGTGTTTGACAGCTTCAGGAGTGACGCAGGGGAAAAGGTTTTTAAAGTAGATGAAGAATTTGAGGAGGGAGGAAAGGGGTAGGTATGATGCTGGCAGGAAGGGAGGCACTGAGGTGGGTATATGACATTTTTGAGAGATCTTCAAGAAATAATATTTGAGGATGGCGAAGAATGTAGGAGTGTTTCAAGTAGAAAATAGCAGAGCAGGGAGTGCGGAAAGGGAAGAAATGAGGGATATAAATAAGATGGACGAGCGACCTCCAGTGCGAATTTCAAATCGGAAAGGACATCGAGTGGGAATCAGTTGTGGGTAGGGTCTTCCAGGTTCGCTTGGCTTTGTGTATGAGGTGACGTTGAATCTTTAGGCCAGTTGTTAGCCAAGGCCGAGGAGGATTATTTGGAGGGGTGCAAGGCAGCAGAGGGGCAAGAGCGTATAATGAGTCGGATAGTGTGGAATGTAGGATGTATAATGCTTTGTCGGGGTGGAGATAGGAGCAATCAGATAGGGGCGGTAGGTTAGTGGAATCCAGGGAATTCAGTGCACAGTGATAAATGGAGCGTAGATTTCAGTGGAGGGGTGGATGGAGAGGGGGATGGAAATGTGAGTGTCATGGTCAGCAATATGTGATTGGACGGAGGACGTTAGTCAACTAGGGCATGGGAAGCTGAGCAAGCGGAAGTGAAGATAAGGTCAAGCGTCCTACCCGTAGGAGTAGGTCGGAGGAGAGGCGACGAGGTGTAGGTTGGAAGATCTAGTGAGAGACATTAAAGTCAAGGACGTAGATGGGGAAGGAAGATGGAGGAAGGCTGACCAGGGGGTGGTAAAGAATTATAAATGAGATTGCAAAGGGGAAAGATGATAGTTGAAATTCGAAAGAGGGAAACAAAGAAAGGGCAACAGGTGGAGGCGATGGGATCCAGGTGGAGGAGAAGAGCAACCCAATGCCGCCACCAGGCTTGCCAGATGGTCGTGGGGAATGGATGAAGTTGGTGCGGGATGTGGAAAGAGCAGCTGGGGTGGCAGTGTTCACTTTGGATATCCAGGTTTCTGTAATAGCTAGGGCTTGAAGGTTTTTTGAGATAAAGGCATCCAGGGTGGAAGCAGGCTTTTTTCAGACTGAATGAGAATTCCAGAGGCCGAGGTGAATGGATCGAATTGGAGGGATCGGAGGAGGGGCAGACCAGGAAGTTTTTAGAATGCGATTACGTTTGAAAGAATTGCACGTCGTGAAGATGAGGGGTGTATCGAGGGTGGCAGATGGCGGGGACAGATGGTAGAAATTAACAAATATAACGGGGCAATCAATTTAGGCAGTGTGGTTGTTGCTGGTGGGGATCTGGGCATGGAACGGGCTATCGGCCGCACGAGCTGCGCTGCTCCGCCCCGACAGCCCCGTCGGCAAGGTCTATGGCGTTGACCTCTTCGGAGGTCATGTTACTTTAACAAGTTAGTTGAGCTAAGCGCGACAGGCATAGGCTGCTAGCGGAACCCCAAGAGAAATGCCCTGGTGTACATGAGTGAGCCAGGGTTCGGGTGAATGTCCACCAGACGTTTTTGTAAGCTATCACGGATATCAGATGCTAACCAGGGTTTAGACTGGAAAGTGTGTGAATGTGGTCACAATGCACAGAGATGTTGTCATAGTAATTTTTTCTGGTTTTGATCGTGTAGGTAAAATGTCCATTTCGAACTAAAACAATATATCACCTGACACAGAACGACAAGTTAAGTTTTCACATCGAACCACGTTCCAATCGTTTTTTCCAGCAGACTACTCATTTCGAAAATCAATCAACATTTTTAAGACGTTGAGGTCTGAGCTCTTGCTATTACTTGGATGATGCTGGTTGGAAGCTCCAGTGAAACTTCATACAAATGTTACATTTTGCTTGCTTTTCAGCGTTGCCCAGCCGGGCTGTTTGCTGGGAAATAGAGGGCAGTGCAGCAGCAAAGTATATTGTTGTACTGTGCTGTGCTGCTTCCATGTCTGTTCCCTGCCTTCACCAACCCTCGATAACAAGTGTTGTGAAGTACGGTCACCTGCATGGCATGGGGTGGCCCTCATCCACAGCAGTCGATTGACCAAAGGGCTGTGTTGACATTGATTCTGGAAACCTAATTAGTGACACCATTAAACCTGTATGGCAAGAATGTTTTTGCATATGGAAAAAATACTGCGTATGACGTTAAGTATAGACCTGTAAAACATCGTAGTTAAATTTTCTGAATTGTTTGATAATTGGCATAACCATCGGTGTACCATCTGGTTTTTGTAATGTCTTTTTGGATTAGCCAGTAATGCTCATTCAAATGGTGTTTTGCTGATTTATTTTAAACATTCAATGGTTGATATGGCACTTTGTTGCCAGGCAATTGGAAGAAGTGTTCACAACCACCGCACCGAAGTGCAATCCGAAGTGGTTGTTAGAGTGGCTTGCGGGCAGCCGTGTTTTGTGACGAAATGAAATTTATCCACATTTTATTTTGTTTCTGTAATTTTTTTCGTGATTTTTGTTTATGTAAATTTATTTATTTTTATGTTTTTTAAATTTAAATGAGTTTTATTATAGCTTGCAGCAAGTGTCTGTATTGTTCACCAAGTAACTTTTATCTGGCCATGGTGACATTTGCCTGTAATTCAAGACTTTAGAGGCAAGGGTTTTTGGTCCACACAGTTCCACACTGCCCACCATGGATTATGTCTCTGTCGTGCATAGCCACGCCCTCGATTTGTATTTCATAGAGCGCTTCGGGCGGGCTCGGCACCACGCAGCTTGTGCCGCGTGACACGGATCGCACGAATGCGCCGTCCAACCAAGTTCCTACCTGCCCACTCCGAAGGAACGTGTTATTATTATTGAGAGGAGCGGTCATGCAGTGGTCCTTGCACCACGCTATGAAGCTGGCGGACCTTAGTTTGATTTCCAGCCAAAGATTAGCAGTCTGCAATAGAATTGTTCTTAAAGAAGGAGCCATGTTTTTAGAAATACAGTTTTATTTTAAAGGTAAACTAATTAAAACATCGTTTTTTATCTTCATATGTTTTTCAGATCAAGCTATCAGACTTTGGCTTCTGTGCCCAAGTGTCCAAGGAGGTGACACGGAGGAAGTCGTTGGTGGGAACGCCATACTGGATGGCCCCTGAAGTCATATCCAGGCTTCCCTATGGCCCTGAGGTTTAACATAAAGCACATCTCAATTAAAACAGCTATTGCCTTTCTGTTCTTAGCGATTTGGATAAATAATAATCACAATTAACCCAACATGATACCATTATGCTAAACAACAATGCAATATGACATTTAAAAGTAAAATTTGCTACATGTTTCAGTCACCATGTGCACATTTGGTAGAGCATAACCTACACTGTCTTATTTGAAGCTGCATCTGTAATGTTCTATCGGTGCAGGTGGACATCTGGTCTTTAGGTGTGATGGTCATGGAGATGGTGGACGGGGAGCCACCCTACTTCAATGAGCCACCACTACAAGCCATGCGTCGCATTCGTGACAACATCCCACCGAAGATCAAGAACTCCCAAGGGGTAAAGCCAAGCACTATTTCGGCATCTTTTTGTTTTTATTTGTATTGTATTGACATGTTATTGATGGCTGGCACTCACCTGCAAACCAGTGCCTTTTGCAGGCAAGGGTTTGGTGGATAGTGTAGATTTGTGAAATTGGCAACCCACCCAGGTGCAAGGTGGCCAGAAAAAGGAGCACAACGTGGGTTCTTTTAACCTGTCTCTGTGAATTCGTGTAATCCCTTAATGTGCTTGGGTTTTTTTTATGGACACTCCCGTTTCTTGCAACACAAAACATTCCTTGGATAAGAATTGGGGAACATTCCAATTGGGCATCCTCTTCAAAATTAGCTTGAGCATTTGGTGAGACTTCGCTGACAAAGTACATGATCATTTGTTTAAGCTTTTCTAGTTGTGCAGTAATGCGATGTTTTCACCTGTGCCTCTGGGTTTATTATGGACCTTATAGATGTGCACAATGTGCAGTGTTACACTTACAGAATAACCTGTCTCGTAACGTCAAATACCACACTACCACTCATTTACATTGTCGCTTAATAAGAATTAACCACGAGGGTCCTTTGACGATGTATTCTGCCTTTCATGCTCTTTCCTGAAACTCCTAGTTTTTCTCCATTTAAAGTATCCAAACTTGCATGTAAATACTATTTTAGAAATATGTCGATTTTCGGTGTAACGTAATTACAAATATGAAGTATTATATTACTCCCGTTGTAACGTAATACAGATTCTAATGAGTTTTTTGTGGCAGACACAAATGTTGTCATGTATCACGTAACTGCTGTTCCGATTGATAATTTGTGTTTGCCACTGCAAATTGAGATATCACTGCCATGTTGTTTGGCATGCAAGTAACACGTATGCCACGAGCATAAATGTAATAATCGTGCTATAATGTTACATAGAAACGAAAGTCAACGGTCATTGTCATCCATGTACTTTTTGCTCCGCAGACTACGGTGCAGCTGAGGAGTTTCCTCGACCGCATGCTCGTGCGTGATCCCACGCAGCGTGCTTCTGCAGTGGAGCTCCTTGGGCACCCGTTCCTCCAGAACGCAGGGCCACCGTCCTGTGTGATTCCACTCATGCGACAGCATCGAGGACGCTGACAAAAGCGATACTTTAAAAGATTGCTAATTACCTTTGCACAATAATTCCTGCTTTGCTTATGCACCTTTTCATCTCCCATGTGGATTGTGTCGGGGATTTTTGTTGTTTTCAAATGTCTTTAAGCGTGAATGAATCTTATCATGGGAAAGATTGGTGCGACACCTTTCCATAGCTACATCAACAGTCCACCAATGTTGGTTACGTGAGTGGGCTAAACTATCACTCTTTTTTTATAGCATGCCTCTGTACAAAATTTATTGTAGCAGTTTGTCTTCATTATTATTAGAGTATGGTGTGTAAATTTCATCGGTGACATATCAAAGTGTACGAACTACTGAAAAACCTGTGTAATGTGCATCCTTCTCAACTGATTTTTTTTCCTGCCTCAATTTTGAATGTTATTAGTCTTTTTCACTGAAATTGAAAAAAATACTTGCTGGTTTAAGTAAAAATTAAAGGCCTTTCAAGTAATGGATCCTTTATTTACTTTTATATTTTGTAAATATATAAAAATGAAGCACTTACATTTGATTATAAATATGGGAGATTAAGGATTTGGGAATGTGTTTTTGTCCAACGTGCCAGAAATGGTTGCGTTAACTGGTAAGTGATTGTAGACATTTTTCACATCAACTTTATTATATGCAGCTAACAGTTGAGTAGACGATTTCTCCCCTCCCAAATAACCTATTTTGCAGCATTGTTCACGATTTTATAAACTGAAATTTCAGATGGCAGTGCAACAGGTACTATATTTTACAATTCTCTGTGCAGGTTAACTTTGATTATTTTACCACAGAAATCTTGAATAGGTACGGTAAATCACTTGCAGCCCAACGTGATATTTATTTCCCTGAATTTTTATATCAAAACTATTATGGTTTTGGGGACCAACTTCGGTTATAGACACTTTTTTTACACGTCACACTGGGTTTCTAAATGTCACGTTTGCTTGCAGGTTTTAAAAGGTGAAATATTGAAACGTGGTATTGTTTTAACTTCAAGCAAAATGCAAGACAACGTTGTATTTATCAACCAAACGACTGAATCTTCTGGCAGCCTCGTCAAGTTCACGTTTCTGATTCTTGAAAAGCAAATGCTTATGTACAGACATTTTGGTGTAACAACTGTACATTGTACTGTAATGTTAGTCTTTTGTCATTATTTTACTGCACTACCCGATTGTACAGTTTCTTACTGGGGAGTACTGTTAATTGTTTAATTTTGAGACTGGAACACTAAACAATTTTTTAATTATTGGAAAAGGTAACGTGATACCTGCTTTTGCCTCGTGTTTTTTGACAATTCCTTTATATGAAGACACCTGCAGTCTTTGTTGCCACTTGCTCCTTTGCTGTATTAGGTTTCAGAGATCAAATTGTCCTTGCTATTTACCTTGGAGCAGTTGAACAAACGCCCATCATTGAGAGTTGTTTCATCATTTTGGCTCGTGGATTTAAGCATTCTGAGGATATCTGATAGGTGTTAATAGTTTCATAGTTCATATGACTGCAACATTCATTAAAAAATAAAACATTGGTTGATTTACAAGCATTGTTTTCAAGACCTGAATTTCATTTAAGTATGTGATAAGTTGCATACACAGGTTTGATCGAAATGAGCTAAACTACAAAATATGCCCTTTGGGTGAATTTATGGTTGTAATGCATTAAACATTAAATTAAGGGCTCGCGGGGAAACCCCTATTAATATATTAATAGTTAATTAATTGGCATTTTACATTTTTTTTAAATGTTAATTCAGAATGTCCATTGGTTGCTGAACTTAAATTTTCCTTGACCTTTAAACATCTAGTATTGAGGTAAAACTCGCTTTAACTTGGTACAATCGAACGTAATGGAAGCAGTTTCTTTTAAAGCAATGGCATACCGTTTGTATTTGAATATTACAAGAACACAATATAAGTTTAAGTTAAATAATTCTGAATGATTGAATTAGTGTAATCCCTCCAGTCGGTACACAAATCGAACCACACTGCATTACACAAACATCGCCCAACACTTCCCTGTTGTATAATGTTTGGTACTCCAAGTAATCCCGATTGCAATTGACCACAAACCAAAGTGACCAGAATAAGTAATCGGTGGGGCAAGCTTTGGAGTAGAGTATATGTTTACGTTTGTTGAAACCGAAGCTGTTAATGCACGTCTAGAATTTCACAAAGTTAATTGCTTTTTACGAGCAGAAACATGTTTTTTTACATTTGGTAGCAAATGAAGTTTCAAATATATTCCGAGATCCAGTGTCGTTACACATTTCCCCCCACTGTGCTTGTTGCTTTATTTTATTCAATTGCAAAACATACCCATTGACTCTTGTGTATTAATTATCACACGTATGAATGGACTTACAACTTAGAACCCTCACTACAAAGGCAGAACCCTCACGTCACGCGATCTCCGCAACGCTGTTGAGACATCAAAGTAAAAAGGACGTGATGAACCAGGGATTATAACCTTAAAATTAAATAGGTCTGTGTCACGGCGCCCTTACAAATTGCACACGAATGGATGCAATGAATATCACGTCGCGGTCTGCTTTTCGCTTGCAAGTTTCAGATTTACTGCAATACACCCGTCCTTGGACGGGCTAAAGGCTCGTGACTCAATATAGGGAGATTCGATCTCCGAAACGAAACCGGTATGAGCCTGGTTAGTTCTTTGATAAAGAGTCTGGAAATGATGTCGGCTTAGGGTTGCGATGGTTGGTAGGAGAGATCGCAGTACAGCAGTTCGTGGAATCAGAAAATGTATTTATACTGGAGGAATCGGATGAGCTATAAAGCTTTGTCAGATGTCCAGTAGGGGCGGGTAAGAACGTTCCAACAAACAGTACAGAACACGATAGATAGCAGTCCAAAGTACAAGAAAGGTCAACAATTCACCCAAACATTAAAATAAAACTAAACCATCCCCATTATCACCAGGCAAAGCCCACTGAGGTGTTAACTTTTAAGAAGCCATTTGGCCACAAATGATAGCTCAACCAAGTGGTCCATCATTTGGACATTTATAGCACCAACAATCCAAATAATCTCAATGCATGTTTGTAAATGTGGAGGGAAAAACCGGAGGACCCGGAAAAATCTACGCAACCAATTGTTGAACATGCAAACTCCAAATATACAGGCAACAGGGGGCTTTCTCCAGCAAACTCCAGTTTCTTCCCACATGCCAAAACACTCATTAAGAAAATTGGCCAAACATTCCGAGGTGTGACCCTCTTGAAATGTAATCAGTTGAAACAGTCGAGTGAGGGCGTCATTCTGGCACAGACTGCTGGTGTAATTGTTGTTAAAACTGTCATGCGGTTGTTGCTGTCTCCACCCCATTGAGAGGAACAGTGAGTGCAATAGATGTATTACCGTACTGTCAGAATCTTGAAAAAAAATCACAATAGATCATTTGCGCATTCCTTTCTTGATTTTACAGACATCCAATGCTTTTAACGGGTTGCAAATGCAGCGTGATATTTTAAAGTCACTGATGATTAAACACGAAAATTTTGTCACTGCATTACACTGCCTGTTCAATCTTGCTTAATTTGGTTTCATTAACAGGCTATGCCACTTGATAAATTAGCTCTGAGCCTGGGGAATTAACACTAAAGTCCGAAAGGTGCTTTCATTATGCTCTTTGTTGTAGCTTCATTCCGAATATAATTATAATAAAAGTGGTGGTTCAAAATAGTAATGATGAACTTTAAAATAAAGCTTGCAAGTTGTTGAGCAATTATGCCATAATCTACTGACATGAGCATAACCGTTTGCCAAAAAAACCCATGAAAAAGTGTTCCCTCGTGATCAATAATTCTGAAATTAATATAAACTAGCATATAGCCCGTCCAAGGACCGGGTGTATTGCAGTAAATCCGACATAAATCTTGACTCAAAGCTTTCGTGACTGCAGGAATTCATACTCTTTGAGTCGTTCGGTAGAGCCACGTAGATAGGTTCAAAGAAAATAACAAAATAACAAAAAACTACGACGTTTCGATCGCAACACAAGCAATCCGCTTGTGTTGCGAGAAACTCGAAGGACAGGCAGAGCGCGCCCAGCATCGCCTACTAGCAGGCATGCACATTGTGACTCGCTGTCAGGACGTGCACAGATAGAGACTCGAGTGAGTAGGAACAGTACAGATCGTTCGTAGTTTATCGGGTAAATAATCGGGAACCTTTGGCGCGAAGTGTGTGTTGATCGTCGTGATTGTGTGCTCGGTCTGGTCTACTGACATTCTCACGTTACTCGAGATTACGAGCACAGGACAATCTCGTTCACATTCTGCGTGGCTCCGCAGTAAATACACGCTTCGCTGCTTCTCCACCCTCCGTGTACATCTTCTTATTCAGTCGTGAAAAGCCTCCCACCTCGCTCTGAATGCAACATTATTTGTCTGAGTACTCGTCTCTCTGTGCGTGTGCACAGTTGTCATTCGGGCCCGCATTGCCATACGCGTGGGGCCCTTGTGGTCTCAAGAGCTGGACTGCGTGCAAGCCAGCAGGGGGCAGTGCAGAACATTGAACTGAAAAAGCACAGAGCAGTGAGATGAATGCTGCCGAATGTTGATGTTAAATTCAGTCATCGAAAGACTTAAGCCTCCGTTGAGGAGCTTTATTGGTCAGAGTGTCATCAATACATTGGCACGTATCAATAAAAACTCATATCTGAATAAACGTGATAATGTTGTCGGGTGATGGAGGGTTAAATACGAGACACGTGTGAAAAATAGCTTCATATCTCATTGGAATCCTCTCGGATAAATAGAGATTCTGATTCTAAATATAATGACAATCGTTTTGGGCATAACATGACTACGTGGCCCAACAATTGCGCTGTACTGTGCGCCTACTACGCCCACGTTCCCCACCCTGACGAACCCACACTGACCGGCGTGGTGAAGTATGCTCATTCATCTCCACACAGCGACTCGCACGGCGTGGGGAGCCCCTCAACATCAGTGGATTTACAAATACATCGAGACGTGCCAACATACCGTGGAGAGAAATATATGAATTTACGAAATCATTCACGGGATGCTCAGCTAATATGCAAATTTATACAAAACCGTTTATTGTATGACACTTCTACAGTAGTTGGACAATTCTACTTTTCGAAGACGTAACGCTAATAGGGGTACCAAAAGACGAGGCTTACTCTGTACAGATGGTAACATGCTATTTCTCACCGTAACACTAAACAGCACTTTCACAGTTTAATACACTCTGTTGCGGCCATCCATACAACTAAGAGGTGATCACCAAAACCGAAGCAGTGGACGTTTCAAAGTGTGATCCTTCACCAAGTCACGGTTCTTTCGAGTTCTTCACGGACTGGAAGTCAAACTCGCACTTGACGCCGCTGATGCTGTCCACGCTGGGCTGGCTGCTGACCTGCAGCTTGTGGTGAGACACTGGACACGTCTCGCAGCGGGTCGTGGCCGGCGTGACCTCCTCTTCCAGCTCCCTTTGCTCGCCAGCCCCCGGCGCCTGCACGACGCCTCGTCTCGCGAACTCCGGTGCCGTGAAGCGACGGAGCAGCCGAGTGCCCAGCGCGTGCAAGGGAGACGTCCTCGCGTTGAGCAACGTAGCCGGGCTGTTCCCCTTGCGTAGCGGCAGGAGCTTGTCGGCCGGTGCGGCCACCGCCAGCGGGCTACTGCAGGGCAGGCTGCTCCGCTTCTGGTAGTAGCTGTCGTTGAATCTCCGCACGCCGTCGTCCACCACCTGGCAGTTGCCGAATTGCAGCCGCAGCTGCCCGACGTTCTTGCTGGCCTTGAGCGACGACGCCTGCTCTCCGTGGAGAAGCACCTCGGGCAAGCTGCGGCGAGACCTGGAGGGGAGGTGGTCCTCTCTCTGCGACCTCGCACCGAGTGGCTCCATCGCGGCCGGCGGCTTCGAGGCGTCTCTGGGAAGAGCCACCGGGGGCAGGAAGCTACGGCGGTTGTCCTGGGACCTGGGCACGCTCGAGTGCAGGTCACGAAGTCCGCAGTCCCTCCAGCTCTGGGATTCCGCTGCCTTCGGGGCGGGTTCTCCGGACGAGCCGGTCGCCGTGTCGTCGCCGTCAAACTCCTCCTCGATGGAGTCCATCGAGTTCAGCTGCTGGCGCAAGATTGAGAGTCGCGCCACGGCACGAGGGTTTCCGCATCGAGCAGCTGCTGATGATGATGATGCTGCTGTTGTTGTTGTGGGGCAAAAATCTGCTGCTGCTGCTGTTGATGATGATGTTGCTGCTGCTGCTGATGATGATGATGATGATGTCTGCGGCGTAAAAAACGATGTCGACAGTGGCTCCTCCAAGACGTCTGGTAACGGAGCCCGGCAAGGAGTCCCGTAGCAGCCTGGCGGCCTCGCGACCTTGAAATGCGACGAGTCGGCTGACAGCAGCGCCGTTGTCCATCGCCCGTCAGCAGGAGGCGGCGGTGCATCGACCTCTGCGGCATGCGCGCTCTCCACGTGATTTGTGGACCCACCGCAGGCGGACAGCACCGCTACGCAGTCGTGGTGGCCCAGCCAGCGAGCCACCTGGTGGGGCCGAGGGATGGGTGGATTCGAAAACGCAAAGGGCAATTAACTCAAGAGGATTTGCTTAAGTACTCGCTGAAGGTGACCGCCGTGCATGCATAACAGGTGTTACAGGCTTCGGGGTGATGTGGTGGGCAGCAGAGGGCGGTGCAGCAAAAGCGATTGTTTTACAGGACATGTACCCGTGTGCTCCCTCGTCTATGTAGTTATGCCTTCACCATCAACCCGCGCTGAGCCGGCTTGGTGAAGTATCGTCACGTAACTCCCACGTGGGGAGGCCCTCCTCCCAAAGAGGGTTTACAGAGCGATGTCGAAGTACATTTGTTATACTCGTTGTGCCGTGTATTGCGTGAGTATCACAGGCATGTAACGATGCTTCCACCCAAAAGATTCGATGAATCGTCACGAAGCATATATTCAAGGTGGTGTTCGAGACTCGATTATTTTATATCGGCTTTCGAATTGTTTATTTTGTACTGTTTCTCGTTTGTTCTGTCTCGTTTGTACGGTTATTTTTGTTCCTTTAGTCCAAGGGTTCTTAACCTGGGTGCACGCTTCACCCCCTGGGGGTGCGAGACACGAAAACAAGGTGAATTACCGTAACACCAATTAAGTGCAACTAAATTGTTACATCAAACCCATGTATGTATTAACACTATACATTGTATAACGATTGATAACCAAAGGGGTGCAAGGCTGCAGTGACGTTTAAGAACCACTGTTTTAGTCCAATGTCACACTGACACCTCTAACTCTTTTGTTGTTTTAACAATTTACAGCCCTTGATCAACACACTGCTGGATACATGTCTTCACGCTGCTCAGTTCGGGTTAGTGAAGGGGTAGGTGAGAGTTTAGATATCACTCGCCACCGATGCTAGCCGCGGTTGGGAATCAAAGTCATGCCGCCGGTGGTTCTCCAGCTTCTAGATGGAGCTTCCAGATGCAAGTATTCACGAATGAGCCATAAACTCATGTAATGAGCTCGTGGACTTGAATGCTATATTATTTCATGGCGATGATGCATGCCGATTGCGCTTGTAGAAGAGGTTTTCAATTACATTGATTCAGGCTGCCATCAGTTATCCAGCATTAATTAGAAACACGGCCGCTCACAAATGAAATGGGACAAAAGCTGAAAATTTCGAGAAAAAAAGCTTAGAGAGAAGCATGCTGCGAATTGCGCCGAGAGACAGAAAGGGAACCGCTTGATTCCGCGCACAACCCAAAGTTACAGGCATCATCTTGGCTGAATGAACCTGGCCTGGGACAGAACGCGCATCGCCAGAAGTGAGACAAAGACCCCCCCCGAGGCTTTAACCGCGACACGACCGCTACCCACACACACGCGGTGCCCAGCCAACTCTCATCGCGTCACCTGCAGCGCCGAATGCCCGTCGCGGTTGGGTCGGTGAACGTCGATTCCGCGACGAGCGAACGCGCGCGCGAGGCTCCTGAGCACCTCCGCGTTGCCGGCCGCCGCCGCCTGCACCAGGGCGCTGTCGCCCCAGCGGTCCTCTAGCGTCGGGTCGGCTCCTCGCCCCAGCAGCAGCTCGACCAGAGCGGCGCTGGCCGCGGCGTCGGGCAGCAGCGCGGCGAGCATGAGCGGCGTGTGGCCCTCGGGACCGCGCGCGTTCACGGGTCGCCCGTCCAGGGCGTCCAGGACGAAGCGCGCCGCGCGCACCTGGCCCCGGCGCGTGGCGTCCGCAAGCGCACGGGCACCCGCCGTCTCCTCGTCCGGCGGGACGGCTGCCCGCCACGGCCGTCGCTTCATGCTCCTTTCGGCCGGTGCACGCGAGGAGTGTGTGGTTGTGGTGCTGGTGGTTGTGGTGGTGGTGGTTGTTGTGGTGGTGGTTGTTGAGCGGTTAGAGCGCTGCTCGACGAACCCGGCGGGCGACCCGAGTTTGATTTGCCACTCACGGCCAACGGCGGTGACGATTATCTCAAGAGGTCATCGGCCTCCCTCTAGGTCGACTCAGCCTCAAATGAGTACCTGGTGCGGTGTCTAAACATCACCACGGAGGAGACAAAGACGGACGGGCGTGGTGTTGGTCACTCACCCCCTCGTGTGCCGTGCCGGCCTTCATAGGTACTCGCTAACAGCACTTGCCCCTACAGTCTGTTACAGGTCTTTGTCCTTGGTGTTGCTTCCACTGATGATGGTGATGATACTTGTGGTAGGTTTATGAAGGCGACTTGTGTACTAAAGCCGGCTCATAATTATTCTGTTGTGGGCGTCGATACGATTGCGCTGAAATCTATGAGTGGTGCTGGTCGTTAATATTGCTTCGACTGACTGATGATGATAATGATGGCGATATTAGTAGGATAGTCTCTTGAAAAGAGTTGTGTACAGATACTGTATTGATAGAATTCAATTGATAATTACGACGAGTCCATTATTATTATTATTAGAAGACTAGTGGTAGACTGGTTATGAAGGCCATCAAGTGGAGTATAGTCTATTCGGTTTTTTAGAGTTGTGCCTTATAATTAGTTTTAAATTGTAGTGTTCAAATTTGTATAATCAATTTATAATAGTCGAAGAGTAGTATTAATCGTATTCAGCTGATGATTGTTATCGGTAGTGTACTCGTAGTAGACAAAGGCTAGTACTAAGCTAATCGGAGGCTAATTATTGAGAGTGGTGTTGTCAGACTAGCATAAGTATTGTAGCGATGTGCACTTACTGCTAATTGTATTTGTAATTAAATTATTATGAAATGACAATTCGTTGTATACCGGTAGTATTAGTCCACGTTTGCAATGCTACTCATACGACACGACTGCTAATTGTAATTATATTATCAGGATATTATTCATCTGCTGCTATTCGGTTTTTCTGCTGTGGCAGGTAATTCCAAAGACCGTCCTTACTGAACTACTGTCAGCACTATTATAGCATTAACTAATTCGGTAATTTATATGAATGACGCTACATAGATTGAAACATATAAAACTATGATTTTTAAAATGATAATTAAACTACAATAATTGTCCGTCTGTTGTAATTGCTAACGCCAACGTATGTTATGCCGATCGTTCTTAGATTACGATTTCTGTTATTAATAATCCACTGCTGCTAATCTGATATTGCTTGTAATTACAATATTATCCTATTTATTTTGTAGACTATCATTAATGATTTGCATGTCTTAAACTAATTGTGTGTTCAAACACTTCTGTTGATTTCGTACAGAGATTGCCGGTTACAACAATTGTAGTTGTTGTGGTTGTGGAGGTGTTGTTAGGTAACTTGCTGTTTCCCTGTCGTTCCACTCTACAAAATAGGGCATTATTGTTTTTGTTTTCTCTTGCCGAGTTTTGCCGAGTTGCTAACCAATTAATCTTACCCTGCAACTGACTGCGATTCTGTGATAATTCTGCACCTTCGCTAAATCTTGCACCTGTGCCAACTATATCCTTCAAATTACTCGTTATAGCTGCATGGACTTAATACATTCTGCCTTCCGATTAAAATAATATATATCGTATTGTTCGAAAAAAAAAAATCACCACATTAGTTATTAACACTGCCTTATAAAAACGTTTCGGGGCAAGGGCCCTTAAATGTTCGTATACGTATTTCGTCGATTATCTTGCTTTGAAGCTTTCTTGACTGCAGCAATCCATACTCTTTGGTTCTTTCGGTAAAGTCACGTTGGCAGAAATAAAAAAATTAAATAAAATGAAACAAAAATCTTTCCTGACCGCATAGACGCGCGTTCGCGAGCCCAATAAATGGAGAAGCAGCCGTGTTGGTACCCAGACGCGCCTCCTCGTGTGTGGAGGGAGCCGTCCTCACTCGCCGTCCTCACTCGCCGTGGCTGCTCTGTTCTCTCTCAAGGCGCTTTATATTCTCCACGGTTCGGCTGCCACCCACAGGAGGTGGTACCGTATTGCCCGGATCAAAAGACGCATCCCACCCCGCCACCTCGACCTTGCTGTATATTAACGTCAACAAGGTTGGGCGTGTGTTCATTTCTCACGTCGTCTTTCTTCGCCCTGCTCCGTAGGAGATTTGTGGGTTTCGTTGCCGACTCTTTGGAGTTCGCGTGTTCTCTCTCTCTCTCCGCCGTGGTTGCATGGATTTTATTTCCGTGTCCTCCGAAATAGCCCCCCACATTTAGAAACATGCGTTTAGATTCATTGGCTGCGACTGCACATGCCCACGTGTGACGGTGGCGATATCAGCCAATTGGATGCACTATCACGCGTGGCCAGGTCACCTCTGAAAAAGAGCTTATAGCCCAGTGGGTTTCATCTGGTAGAAAATTCAAATTAAGACTAGAATAACATTGTTTAGTGTATGTGTGTGTGACTCGATTTGTATAACTTTATTGATGCCGGTCAAGTTTAGGATGCATCTTACTTTCCGGAGCGTCTTATGATCCATAGAATACGGCAATAGCGGAGAAGCGCTTGACGGCCAACGCACATACACGACAGAGTCTAAAGATCTCCCTCTCGATACTTGTAAGACTGTCAGGACCAGTGCTTATTAGCGAGCATGCATTAAGGCTGGCATGCCCGGCCGCCTTTGTCTCCCCAGTCCTGGTGTTTTTACACACGGCACCAGGGACTCGTTTAAGGCTGAGCCGACCTAGGAGAGGCCCAGAACCGGTTTACGTATTCACCACTGTTATTGGTTATAAGCCGAGTTCATAGGGGAGCGTGCTAACCACACGCACACTGCACGCACACACACACATATACACACAAATGCATAGGCAGTTTGTTTATTGGCTCCTGAATTGTAATGTCAAACATTTCCTTGGCGTTATTACTGAAATGTTAATTCCCCCGTGATTTTAGATAATCGCCGTTGTAATTTGCATGCCAAGAACATGTTTTTTGGCGAGTTAATCCACAACCAACGTGTATTGAGTGCAAATGCAATATACATAAATATTATAGCTATTTGTCATATTACTCCATCTTCACAATTATTTAAGAGAATAAACTCGGCTCAGTGTAGTTATTCTTTGTAACAGACAACCTTGTCAAAAACTCGTGGTGTTTGAAAAAAATAAATCCCATATGAATTCCATAGAGAAATTCTTTGTCCAGTGTAGCTCCTCAGATCGTGATATATAATAACATATCCAAGTTGAACTCAATGTCAAATGTCAGCTCTTGCTTCTTTACACTTGGCAGGTAATTGATAAACGTTTTTAATAATTTTTGGGGTTTTTTTCCTTTCTCTCTCTCTCTATGAGTGTACTATCGGCGTCACGTGTCACGAGACGTAGAATCAGTTTGGATGTCTCGCAGAGAAATGCACCCCCCCCCATTCGTGCACGAGAACAGCCCACGGCAGTGGGTATCACGGAACTACCTCTGAGAGCCCTTCAGGTGACCTCTGTAGTCTGCACACTAGGGGGCAGCACTCTGACACACGTCCTTCTACCCAGAGTTGGGCTCGCAGCAAGTGCAGTCGAACCCATTCTCGTTTTAATCCTCAGACCTGGAACGTTTCCGAATTAATCAATGTCAAATGTCAGCTTTTGCTTCTTTACACTTGGTGTTCAGCCACTGGTGACCGGGCTGAGATCATAAACCGACAACATTCTGCATTAGAAGTTTTCGTGACTGCAAGGATTCATTCTCTTTGGTTTTTTCGGTAAAGTCACGTAGGTAAAAAATTAAAATAAATCAAATTGCTGTGACGGTTCTACCTAAAGATGGAAGCTTGTGTTGCCTCCGAAACGTCGTTATTTAATTTATTTACATTTTTTACCTACGTGACTTTATCGAAAAACCAAAGAATATAAACCAGCAACACTTGAAAACCCAGTTTAGCAACACAGCTGTCTGGATTCGAACCAAGGTTCTCACCTGGTGCCAGCTCAGCGTTGTCTCCGAAGAGCCACCTGGTCTGCGATTATTGTTTAAAGACAGGGCGCACCTTCAAGCCATAATTACATATCACGAAGATTGTCCCTAAATCTTGTCCCAAAATAATGCATGCAACAAGCCACATGATACTCGTTCACGTTCAATTTAAATCGGACTCCAGTACTATTAAACATGATCTATGCCTCGCGTTTCCTGGCTGGCTGCTGCCTGGGCTCCTGTCCACCCCAACAATAATTCAATTGTTAGTGGCAACGAGCAGTTGCTACTGAAACTTACTGGACATCTGTGAAAAACAGCTGTATAGCTCATCGGATCCCTCCAGTATCAAATACATGTTCTGATTATGAGCGTAACAGGAATATCCGTGCAACAAAAACACATTTTATTGAAGCAAAGGAATAAGTTTGGTAGACTCTTAATAAATAGCGACACCGAAAGAGTGACAAATAGGGAATACTGACACGGTAAATTTAAAATTGCTGTAAATGTTAAATGTGTGCTCGTATTCATGTCATTATATTTCCAGAATAGTTTTTTTTTTATCCTAGAGAATATACAGAAACAAAAACTCACCACACGTATTAATTTGCTATTTTATTACGTTAAAAAAGCGTATTAATTTGAGTGCACCGAGCACGGAAGGATTGTGAGAAGTGATGACAATTACAACGGTCTCTTGTTTTCCATTGCAGAGCCACGGGTTCTCCTCTACCGGTACATTTGGATAATTTGTTTTATTTAAAGCCCTTTGTTAATCCACTACCGGGCTAAGGCCTCCTCCATGTTAATCTCCGCGGTTGTTTGGCCATGCTTCGCCACGCTGGTCAATGCGGTGAAGGCGGGAGGAGGGCGATTGGGATCAGGGCAGGTTCAGATATCACTCAGCACTGATGTTAACCGTGGCCGTGAATCGAATTTAATTAATTCATGTATTTTGTATCTTAACAAAAGCAATAGCCCATTGATACAACACAGTTTCTACATTTATTGCTTGTGAATACAACGAACATAACAGTAGAACAATAATGAACAAGCACGACTTTAGGGAGTATTTAAATAGATCAGCCAACGCAGAAACAGAATAAGTCAAGACATCGTCTGCGAGGCATCGGTCTGCATTGAGTTTAGCGCCGTCTTCTGCACTGC